ACACCCAAAGGATGATCATATCTACTTTCTCAGTGTATTGGACTTATGTGTCCAAGTTTTGATACTGGGGGGTTGCAGGGGTGGCCCCTGTCCAAAGCTGAGCCCATCAGTGAAGCTGGTGGCACCTCTGGGGAAATGTGTTTAATAAAGAGTGAAACGTTCTGTATGGCAGTTGTGAGAGAGAGGAATGAGGGGAAAAAAAAAAAAAAGAGTAACAGCCCTGCAGGCACCAAGGTCAGTGAAAAAAGAGAGGCAGGATGTACTCCAAGCACTGGAGCAGAAGTTACCCTACAGCCCATGGAGAAGGCTATGGTCGAGCGCTTTGTCCCCTTCTAGCCCATATCAGAACAGATATCCACACTACAGTCTGTGGAAGACCCCATGCTGAACAGTGTGAGAAGGAAGGACAGGCAGAGAGAACTGTTGTATGGACTGACCACAAACCCCAGTCCTCATCCCACTGTGCCGCTTGGGGGAGGAGGAGGTAGAAGAGTCAGGAGTGAAGGAGTGAGGTTGAGCTGGAAAGAATAGGATTTGGGGGGAAGGTAAAGTTATTTTTGTTGTTGTCGGGCTTGTTGGGGTTTGGGTTTTTTGTTGTTTGTTCTATGGTTTTTTGTTTTGTTTTTGGTTTTTAGTTCTGCCCTTGTTTCTCACAATACTAGTCTATTTCTAATCGGCAATAAATGAAATTAATCTTCCCCAAGTAGAGTCTGCTTTACTTCTTACACTAATTGGTAACTGATTTCCATGTCTTTATCTCAACTCACAGGTTTTTCTGTCTTGCTATCCTGTTGAGGAGGGGGAATAACAGAGCAGCTGGGTGGGGGTCTGGCAGCTGGCCAAGGTTCACCTGCTACACTCAGTTACAATATGGCCACACAAAAAGTTGATTTGGTAAATGACCCACACAAAGGCAATAGAAATTTCCAGTCTTGGTGAGAATGAAAAGCTAGCACCATGTGGAGACACAAACTTCTGTGAATTGATCTCCTGACAACACAGTGATCTCTGCATCCTCCACAGGCTGATGTCCTCCAAGAAAAATCTCACTCTCCCTAGCAATGCCAAAAGCTGCCTTGATTGTATGGCATGATTTACTGGGGCACTCTGTCAATAGAAGTAGATCAGTTTGCTTTTCAATAGTCTGAGTTTGAAGTTCTGTCATTCAAATGGACCCTGTACCAGTAGTTATTTATAAAGTGATTTGAAGTCTTTTTTGTGTCATTGAAAAGGGATAGTTGACAGTTGCATTGACAGACAACTGTCTTCTCAAGGCTAGCTATATGATTTTCTGAGGAAAAACAATATGCCTTTCAGGATGCATTCGCAACATTATTTGATTTTGAGACCAGTGAAAAGGGAACTAGCACAGATTTGAAAGTCATCAGTCATAAACTTCTGCAGTCCAAACTATGTATATGCATTCTCTATTGGTTTTACTCACATACTGACTACAAGAGAATAATGAGGCAGCATGAAGCCTTCAGAAAGCAGTTCTGTTTTGTGGTGTGTGTTTTTTTTAAATGATGAATCGCATGTAACAAATGGTCATTCTTCTTCCTGTGCAGGGTCAGACAGACAGCTTAATGATATTCGTTCCTCATCAGCCTTTGACAGATGTTGTAGAGTCAATACGGATGTGTTATCCTAGCTCATCTCAGGAAGTGATAAGCTTTGATAGACTTATGGTTCAAGTTTCATAAATCAGGTCTGAAACCATACCAGAATGGATCAGGAAAATATATTGTAGTTGCTGCTGTTGCTCTGGCAGATGTTGTAAACTTTCCGTTCTGAAGAAAGGTGACATAAATATCCTTTTTTGCCTTCTAGACTGCAGAAGGAAGACTTGCCAAATCACCAAAATTAGGTAACCTTTCTAATTGTGCTAATTTTTCTTAGCATAATTAAACTAGTGGCAAACTCAGACTTTTCCTCTTCCTTAGGTCAAGATATTCCATAGTCAGCTATCAACAGGGTTTATAGATTCTCTTGGCTGGAGCTGAGTCGTGTTCTCCTTCACAAACACTTCAAAGTGCAGATGGACTTGTAACTCCAGTGTAGGCAGTTCCTAAGGATAGGGAGCCACACCAGAGGGGAAAGGTAAGGAGTAGCTCATTATACAAATGTGATACTCGTGGAGTGACGAATGTGTGAAGTGACTTAGAAAAATATCTTTGCAAGTTGGATAATATTATTTCAACAGCTGCTGTGTGATTTATTATCTCTGTTCCCTCTCCTGTAATATCGCCTAGACATCCTTTAAATAGAAAGAGTCCCTGAAGTCACACCTTTTAATTGAGAAGGGATGGTGAAAGAGAAAAAACCCTAGTATTTAATTAGCTCTGGAAAATGCTTTTCTTTTAGATGTGTTTCTAAACTGGTTCTTATAATCCCATAGTGCTTTTCACTTAAGTACCTCATAGCACTTCTCAAGCCTAAGGTCACTGTAGTGTAGACAGTGAGAAAAATAGTACGTGTAAGTACGAGTCGCTGCCTCTCCTGTTCAATCTGATGATTTTCAGTAGTGCAATTGTCTTCTGGGCACAAAACCCACCTTGTTTTCAACCTTGGATCAGTTTTTAACATCCATACTTCTACACTAGCTTCAGTGGATTTTTTTCTCCTAGTGAAAATGTTAAAGGAATGAGACATAGGAAAAGCATAACAACATAAGAGGTATGTAACTTTCCACTTAAGGCTGTTGACTTGCTGTTGATTTTGGAAAATCTTCAGTGTGTGTAAGTCCTAAGGACTTTAAGCATACAATTAAATCAAATATGTGTGTAAATGGAATATGTAGTAGTTGTACATGTAAACTAGAATGAAAAATTGCACAGGACTTGTTTCATCACTGAAAAATAACAAAGAATTTACCAGCATCTGCTGACTAAAATGGACTTCTGAACAAGTTCCAGATAAGAGAATATGTGTTTTTGTCTTCAGTTTTAGCAAAAAAGGAAAAGAAAAAAAAAGGATTTACTGACAATCATAATGAACTAAAATCTTGTGTGAAAGTATTAAATTCTGAGATAGAGTTAATATTTTTAAAGGGAAACATTTTATATAGGAAAATGTTTATATTTGTACCAGAGCTTTTCAGTCGATAGGCACATTTAGGGCATGATTCATCTCATTGCACTTTAGATGTCTAAAACAGGGCAAATTAATTGTGTCATGTAAATATGTTTTGTTTTCTGTTGACTAACCAGTTATTGACATTTGACCAGTTAGAGACCAGCTGGATGGAATATAAGAGTTGGTGAGATGGATCTACCCTACAAGAGACAATGATAATACCAACAACTGATTTTCATGCTCAGAAATAATTAAAGACTGTTTCATAGAAGTCTAACAATCATGGTAAAGCACTTTTAAAATCCATAAACACAGAAGATGATTTTGGATTTTATTAAAAAAATGCAATTGTGAAAATCTGAGTAACTGTTTTTCAAGTTTCCTTTTTTTTTTTTTTGGGTTGGGGTAGGTATTTTCCTTGTTCCCCACCCCCTCCAATAATAATTTTTACTATGACTCTCTTCATGTCTTCTGTAAAGATATTATTTTCTTTTTTAAGTATGTGTGTGTGTGTGTTCCTATTCAGCTGGATTTTTTTTCCCCCGAGTAACACATAAACCACTCCAACTCTTGGATACAAATCAATTTGCTCCTGAAAGTAGCCTGCTTGAAGTTCAGCTGGGAAAGTGCTGCAGGGTGAATGGAGGAAGAATGCTTACATTTCGTAAAAGTATATGCAATTTGTGGTGGTCTGGTGCTGTGCTGCTTCTACCAGCCAATAGCCAACACATCCTGCCTTCCTGGCTACCAGGCTTTTTTCTGACACCCTTGTGCCTAATAAGCAGCATAGCAGGATGCCAGCAATATGTTCTGAAGACAATGAGTTATCCCTGGTGTCAGAGAATAGAATTGGGATGAGCAACCCCATGAAAAGCCAGTAATTCCTCTTATTTCAGCCTCTCTGTGCTCTGAGTCACACTTAGACGATGCCCCAAGGTCAGTCGAAAAAGAGATCTGAATTGCAATGCAGATTAAGGGTGCACTGCCATTGCTGGGGAAAATACTTGCCCATTTAAAAGTCCTTTTAAGAAAGGCAACTAACTAAATACAAGGGGATTTTGCATGGGCAGAACAGCTTGTCTTGCAGCTGCTTTTGGCCTTTACATTTGCTAAATTTTACTCCAATAATTTCACTTAATAAAAAGTGCCCTTAACTAGCAATGGGGAAAACAGCAAACGAAGTGTACAGAGGGTGAAAAAAAAAAGAGAGAGCTGAACTTCACTGGAACTTGGCAAATATTTTTATGTCTGCTTTACCCAGGAATTTGTGTTGGCTGTTCTGGTTGTAGCTGTGGTGACAGGTTGCATTGGAATTTTTCTTGGATTTGACTTTCAGGGGTATGTTCCCCAAGTGCAGCCATTTGGATTGCAGGACAAAAGCCAAGCTCTACCTAATAAATGTCTCAAGCAAACATCAGTCTTTTGGCAGACTTCACCACTGCTACCTGTTCCAGGGCAAACTGATGTCTCCACTGAAGCCAGTGACATTGTCCTGGGCAGTGCTGGACCACTGGGTTTGACCCACCACAGCTGTTGATCACAGTGGGCAGAGGTATAAACATTCATCACCTCTAGAAATCGCATCCTTCAAAGCAAAGCTTAAAAAATTGCTTCCCTGCCTATCTTCTCCATGTCTTTTTACTAAGAACTTTGCAATTAGTATCACAGGGGTCTTGTATCAACCACAGATTTTTCCTGTGGTCCTGCTTTTATCTTGAAATACGTCATATATTGCTTCTCCTGATTGCTTCTCCTTATGAATTTAGTTAAGCCATATGTATGCTTGTCCTTTTATTTATCTTGTTTAACCTAATATGATCCTGTATTCTGCCCCCTTTAAATCAATCTAGTTCCACAACAGAAACTGTTTGTCAGCATTGTGAAGTCATTTAAATCCACAGCATTGTTCTTGATTTTAAGAGGCACAAGCATGTGACAGATGTGACATTAGCAGCACAGCTCAGTGTGCTTGCAGACCAGGTATGTACCATTCTGCAAAACATGTTTCTTGCAAGGGTGTCACTTGAGAGATGCTTCACAAGCTTGCCAGGATGTTTTTCTATTGAGCATAATAATAATAAATCTTTAATAATACATATTAATAACAAATAGTCAACAATAAAGGTAATAATAAAGATTAATAATATATAATAAAAATAAAATTGCCCCATGCATTTTGGAGATGGAAGTGACTCCATATTTAGCCTTGGAAATGCTGCCCTGCTCCACAGCTTCTCAGACTCTTCTCAGAGAAGGAAGAATCTGTTCCCAACACAGGACAAAACTACTAGTGAGTTTTGTGAGGAAGCAAGGAAGCTGTCATTCCTTAATGAACAAATAAAGTACAAAACTAAACTGTGGTCCAGCAGTACAGGGGAGTTGGAGACAACAATGCCTTTCAGATAATGCACATTGCATTCCTAAAACCTCTGTCTCATCAGTCTGGTTTGCATCACCTGGGGGACATGCACTCCAAGAAGCCATAAACTTGTTTCTTCTAGATCAACAGCAGCTGAAATCCTCCCTGAAATAGGAGAAAGCCAGCTGGTAGCAGAGTGGCATTTAGTAAAGTGTACTTTAAAATCCGAAAAAAAAAAAAAAAAGATAACCATTCTATTCATGGAAAAGGACACTGGAGATCTATATAGAACCAAAAGTTAGATACTGCAAGAACATGGGCTTTCCCTCTAATTCAGTCCTTCGTGTTGAAGAGGGCATAAAGGCATTAAAGCATTACCTAAGGTGTCATCATAGAAAATGCAAGATGCAGTTCAAGGTATTTCAGAAACACAGCAGATTCTTCAGCTTTGGGAACATGTTGGGGTGGGGGGTGGGGGCCAGGCATCTGCTTAGTTCCAGAAAGGATTGTCTTTCAATTTTCTACGGTGGTGTCTTCCTGGAGGTGGGTGGCCTTTTATTCATGGAGACAGTAAATTGCTGACTGAGAAATCTGTGTAGGGAAATGAGCTTTGTCCTAATTTCACTGAAGTCAGCTGGGTTAGAGAGGTTCTCAATGACTTTTTTTAATGAGCTCAGAGTCAGTATCTTAAAAGACTGTCATACATTAATACAATAACATTGCTAAACACATTTTGACTGACAGGCAATCCTAGGTTGTGCTACAAGGCCCTACAAAGTATGAGGTAGGGAATGTGCCTAACTATTAATACAGGTATTTGTTTGACTATCTGTCTTCAGCCAGTACAGTTTAGGGCAGCTGGTCAAATTGAAGGTCCTCTGACTGACTGGAATCATTAAAGCAATGTGCTTTTTCCTTGCGGGACAAAGCCAAGACCTGGTCTCTTTATGATGTGGCTGGTTTTAGCAGGGAAAGTTAAAACGTATCCCTACAGAATATAACCAGAAGACATGTCCAGAAGATTTTCTCATTGACCTGACTAGACTACTTCACCCTATGGTGGTTAAGAGTTGTGATGGGATTGAAGTCGTAACAGTCTCAAGTTAGACAGAGAGTCTGAAATTTGCTGTTTGTTTCAGATCTGAAGGCAGTTTACATGCCTAAAGCTTGTGTGTATTTCCTCAGTAATAAATATTAGACATTTTGTAAAAATGTCACATTCTGTTTTAGGAGGATGAAGCTAATCAGTACAAAAACAAAGCAACTTTTTTTCTGACATTCTTTCCTTACAGAGGAAAAGTTACACAGACACCTCACAGATGCCTCTGTTTTCTAATGGTTTTCTGTTTCACATTTAAATGCGCTCTTAAATATCAGCTTGCTTGTCATTTTCTCGATGAATTGCACCCTGAGTTTACTACATGCTGTATTTCTGTCTGTGCTATTTTTCAACTGAGGTTTTGCTATTTTTAGAGCTTTATCAATAAATAGTGATGTGGGCGGTTTTGTTTGGTTAGTTTTTTCATGAAGCTTTTTTATTATACAAAATACTCAACAAAACACTGTCTGGACTTCTTCTGATGTCACTGGCATCTAGTTCTTAATCTCTTAAGTTTTTTTTTTTTCCAGATGTCTCTTGGATGCTCAGAGATATTGAACACTGGTTATTTTCATGGGAATGGTAGGTGATCACACCCACAGTACCATCCGGACTCTCTGCTGCTCTGGAGCTGCTGGAGTTTCCACTCAGAGGTGTGCTTTAGAAGTGCCTGAGCTGTTTGTGTACCTATTCTATAACTTGGCGCCTACCTGGAAAGACAACTGTGTTTCCTTATGCTACCTCAACTATGCTCTTTTCTGTAGGAAAACCAAAGCACAGCTGTCTCAATCTCTAAAAAATAGGCTGCTGCATTTCATTGTCTTGACTCATCAGAAAGGTTGTTGTAGTTGGAAATTGGCAGAAATGCTGTAAGCATTTGGGTGGAAGTTTGTAACCACAATGTCCATAACTACGCTATTGCCTTATAATATTATTTTAATAGTAAATGGCAATACAGCTGGGGATTTTCTTCCAGCTGTTTTAAAGCTCTCCATCATTCCATCACAGGATGATGCTCAGAAAATAAAAAAGTAACTATCGTTAAGCCACACTGAACAACTGCCCACCTTCTCTAGCAGCGTAAAGCATTTTTCTTCTTGTGTCACTTGACTGAGTATTGAGTTCTAGGCTTTTGCCCTCATCCCTCGATGTCTTACCCAGATTCCTGGATACAGTCCAGTTCTTCCTGTTAAAATACTGCAGTTGCAGTTGTGCTGCAGCGTACGTATTGACAGGGGATGCCGAAATGCCAGGCTATGCTTCTGGTTGACTTTTGCTGACTGCCTTAATGATCTGCCACTTCAATGCATTGCATATTAATACTTCTCTTTGTCTAGTCTTTTTCATATAATGCCTTTTTGTTACATTTGCAGTTTGGATTTAAAAGAGAAAAATAAATTTAAAGTTTCCTTTACATTAAGAGGACTAGAATATGGTCAGTGTATATTAAAACTGCTAAAAGAAAAAATGGAAAAAATCTACAGAAAGTAAGCAAAATACTGTGTAAAACATTCCTTAATGAACAATGGAAATTATGTCTAATAAGAGGAACTCTAGGCCAAGTCGAAATTATCTACTCTGTTTCAAATGTCTAACTAATTATTGGTTTATCCTTAAGGTAAAAGCTTTTTAATTGGCTTTTGAAAAGTCTGAAAGGAAAACTCTGATGACTTTACATGTTTCTGTCACAATTACCCAGAAAGGAATGTTCATATATTCATACATTTTGGGTTAGTTGGCTGGGGTTTTTTGGTTGGTGGGGGTTTTGTTTGCTGGTTTTTTTGAGGGTTTTTTTGGGAGTTGTTTTTTTTTTTTTGGGGGGGGGGGGGGAGATGGAGGGCAGGTGGAATGGAAGTGGAGGGGTTTTTTTTAGCTTAAAATGTTTTACCCCACTTGCTTCCCAGCTTTGGGCTCAGTCTGTTTAGGGCTATCTTAATTTTACAGATCCCTCCCTCGCAATTTATTGGAAGAACAGACAGAAACATGAAGGGAAAAAATCCTTTTACACATGAAGATGGTATCAGCATCGTAAAATGATTTTCACTTTAGCAAAAAAAGAAAACCAATAGCAATCCGGTATTTGGGTGCATCAGGGAAACAAACAGAACAGTTAACACCGTCCAAGGATAAATAGTATGTTGTTAAGAAGACATTTTTATTTAGCACTGTACTTTTCAACAGCTGTCTAGTTCAAAGCAAGAGGATAGTCCCAGTTTGGGAGCTCTGCCGCGTGGTTCACGTTGGAAACGGCGTTCGGGACTCCGCTGACCCGCAGTCGCTCACACCCCCCGGCTCAGCAGCAGCCCCAGACGTCCCAAACCCCGACGAAAGCTTGGACACGGCAGATGCCTTTTGTTCTGTTGCTCTGAGCTCTTCTGCATTCCTCCCACGTACGGTCTCGTATCTCATTGCCTGGTGCTGCTCTCGGCTACCGGGAGGTAGATCCACCTTCGGTGGACAAGCCGCTGGGCAAGGACTCTTTGTTTCCCACAGACAAATGAGCAATGTCAGTTAATTCAGAAAACTTAAAAATCTCTCGCTTAAAAACAAAAAGAGCTTTCATTTCTGGCAGGCCAGGTGGCAGTGTTTTCGCCGGGGATGATTCAGAGCGCCGGGAAGTTGGTGTTTACACCGGCTATAAATACGAACAGCTCCCGGCCGGGACAGCGCGGAGACAGGACGGCAGCGACTGTCTGTGACATAACCTCTGGGGCGAGGGAACACTTGGAAGGTGGCATTTAGGTTTAGCAGAGTGACAGGCACCACCAGAGTGGGAGATGAGGATTTCTCCGTACAAACCGGGCGCGGGGCAGAGCTAGGCAGGGGCGGTTGCTCCTGCCCGGACCCCGAGCCCCTGAAGAGGGCGAGCGTGACCCCGAAGTGGTCAAGTTCACCGGCAGTGCCAACAGCCCCGTCCGCTCGGGGCCGGGACAGACCGGGAGGTGCCGGGGCGCGCCCCTGCAGCCGCGTCCCCGCCCGCCGCCGCCGGGCGGGACCATCTCTCCCCCTGCCGCGGGGGGGGGGG